ATTACCTCCTTTCTCACTAGAATATCTCCTTTATTAGACCAACATATACATAATGCGCACATACTCAACAGCATACAGTATTTATTTTCAAAGCTGTAAGCCCACAGGAACTGACCATTGTTTTTTGGTTTGGAAAGACTTCTGAGATTGGACATGACCAGAGGGCGTGAGATTGCACTGCCCTTAAAGAACTGTGCACTTCCTGCATGTCTTCTTGTGAGCTACATTTGGTTCACCAGAACTGTTGAACTACAGTAAACTTAAATGCAAGATTGCATGTTTAACAGCAGAACTCACAATGCAAAACATGCTAAATCGCATGAAGACAACACAAATGAGCCATTTGATCATGGTAGTAGAATGTCCATCAGTACATACTGTATATATTGCACATGACTAGGCTGATAGGTCGATATGGCATCTGTAAACATTGTGAAGCTCTTAACACCCTGCAGCTAGTGTTCTTGTTTATAGTCTGCTCTGGACATGTTCCATCTTTGTTTTTCCACATGGCTGAGTTTAGAACAATTCTAACATTTAGACAGATCTCAGAAGTTTTGGAAGCCCATGGAAAATGTGCCATCTCACAGAGTCGTGAGGCTTCGCACAAACAGGCCTCCAGAGCTTACTGGAAATTAATCATTATGTCAATTCAAGGTAAACAGTGTCATATGAAGGTCTCGGTAAAACTCTAATAATATCTTGCTAATTCTTCATTTGATGGCCACACAACTGAGGACTGACTGAGCTACGGTAAACTAGAATAACATTTTATGTAATTATCTTTACTTCAATATTTGTGCCAGTTTCTTGTCAAAACACATAATTTCCCCCTAAATTTCAATACACATTACATGTTACATACGTATGTATACACTACCGCTCAAAAGTTTGGGGTCAGTATGTTTTTTTAGAGGAAAAAATATATATATACTTTTATTCAGCAAGGATGCATTAAATTAATCAAGAGTGACAGTAAAGACATTTATAATGATTCAAACGATTCCTATTTGAAATAAATTATGTACTTTTACAAACTATTTTTTGATCAAACAGAATAAATGCAGTAAAAGAAACTTACGCTTATGACGTATATATACTGTAAATAAAACACAAACACATTAAAAACACATAATAAATACATTATATAAATAAACACATTTTTCATATTAACAAAACAACTTTAGAGAACAGTCGAGTCCTATGTGGCCATGCACATGACCTCATTCAACTAGTGAGTGTCTTTCTCGTAATCGAGAGCTACATTTAGCTCCCAAAACCAGTCACTTCACTCACATACACGGCACAGGCCCCCTTTAATGACCACACTTTAATGTTTGGAGTCAAGTCAAGTCACCTTTATTTATATAGCGCTTTTAACAATACAGATTGTGTCAAAGCAACTTCGGAATAAGAGAGAAACAGACTAATATTAGCGTAGATATTAGCGCCATTCTTCTAACGATGTAGCAAGTACATCAGGTGTTATAACTTATGAGAAGTGTTCCCGGTTCCGGTTGACCTAATTAATGCAGCCTAAAAATCCTTTAACGGATTTGAATATTAGCAATGAGTAGGTACTGAGACGTGTTGTCTAACCCCAATAGAGTTCAGAATGAAGGAGACAATTTTCCCTCTGTTTACGCCTGAGAGTCCAAAGCTCAGGTGGTGCCCAGTGACCAGGCAACTGAGTGGAGGGATAAAAGGAGCATCCTGAACTCATGCAAGACATCGCTGGGATGCCAATCTGGATTCAAGACACTGAAAACAAAATGAAGAGATTTTACAAATAGTGACTTGTGCCTGATAAGACTCACAACATTACCCAAAGACCGAGAACATGAGTGAGAATCCGTAATATTGCTGTTTTACAATGGACCGATGGAAGTCTTGTATGGTTATGGGATCAGCAGTACGTTATACCTGCAGATGCATTATGGACATGCCCAAAGCTGGTTTACCTTTGTGTCTACAGTGGCAGACCTGCGTACAACATTTGTATTATTTTTTTCCCCATCTGGTTCCAGCTACAATCAGCAGTGGGAGTGAAGCTGGTCTGGGTTGCATTTGTGGGAGACTGGCTCAACTTAGTTCTCAAGTGGTAAGCATTGTTGCTGTTTCTGTAAATATCCAAAAATTTTGAAAGAAGTATTTGGAGCCAGATTGAATGGATAAATAATAGAATAATCATTCACAAATAAAGCCTTCTCTCAATATTGGATGCCTATATGTAATAAATTTATCTTCACTGGTCCTAATCAGATTTATTTATTAAATCACTAAACAGGCTTATGTTTGGTGAGCGTCCTTGTTGGTGGGTTAAATAAACTGTTCATTATGGCAACTTGACTGTACCACAAATCAATCAGTTCCCCATGACCTGCGAGACTGGCCCTGGTGAGCGTCTCCTTATGTTTCTCATTGTATTTATATAGACCAACCAACACACTAAATCGGAAGCAGATTTCACAGCAGTTTCTGTCCGCTCTTCTAGGAAGTCCCTCTGGTCATGTGATGGGAGCTGCAGGGGTTTACTATGTAATGATCACTTCACTGCTGCCGATTTTGCAGGGATGTGACCCCTTAAAAAGATGGTGAGTGATTATATCCTGTTTATATTTTTATATAGTATTCAGATATCATCTTCATTTACAAGATGATACCAGACTGAATGCATGGAAATGCTCTTCAGACACAAGAAATCATCCAGAATAATTGAGAGATAAAAAGGAAGGAAAGAAAATACTTGCACAACTCAATCTACACTACATTTCCAGTCTCCAGTCAGAAGGAAATACTTCATTAGTTACTTGTAAACTCATTTATCTTAGCAGCTCTGTTTTATCACCATAACAAGTTGTATATTTCTAAAAATGCAGTTTATTTTGGGTAGATGATGGGCCAATTATTCAAGTAGATATTGAATGTCATTCTAAAAAATAACCAGGTTCTTCATGTCAGTGTTTTGCTGTTTAATATTAATAATAAACATTTTCTTTCTTTTGCATTTGTGCCATATAATAGGTGCTTGCAGAGTCTTCTTTGGGCCCTTTTCTGGGGTGTGCAGGTTTGTGTCAGTCTTTCTCGAGTCTTCATTGCAGCTCATTTCCCACACCAGGTCATTGCGGGAGCTGTCTCGGGTCAGTTGCATTGTATATTTTTCATATTAGTCTGCCATTCAAAATTACATACAAGATGAATAAGATCTCTTACTTCTCTTACTCTTATTCTGGTTTCAGCATACAGTTTCTTAATTAATTGTTCACTTTCACTATACAGGAATCGCTGTAGCCAAGGCTTTTAATAGAGTGTCCTGGATCTATTCAGCAAGCTTGAAGATTTATGTGCACACCATCCTCTGTCTTGTGTTCATTGCGCTGGGACTTTATGCACTGTTGGATGCTGCTTCAATAGACCCCTACTGGAGTCTAATGAAGGCACAGAAGTGGTGCAATCAGCCTGAATGGGTCCATCTGGACACCACACCCTTCGCTGGCCTCCTCCGCAACACCGGGGCCCTGTTTGGCCTAGGGCTGAGCCTCCATTTGCCTATTCAAGGTGATCTGGAAAAAAACAAGAGCTGTGGAAACAGCACCATTTACAGACTGACCTGTACAGCAGCAACACTGCCACTCCTGGGCCTCTTAGATTCATTCAGACCTCCCACAAGCACTCATGCGCTCTTCTATGCACTTTCTTTCTGTAAGAGTGCCACTGTGCCTCTAACCACAATAAGTTTTGTACCTTACTGCATAAGCACATTAGCAAATGTATACCACAGAATGAAAGCATATTAAACTCAGAAAACACATCATGAGATTGTATTTTTGGCAATTAAGTCTCGATTTACTATTTTCCTCTGGTTACCAGTTTTGAAATATTTCAAAGTATTTTTTTAGAAAACCAAAGATTACTTTATATGTTTTGATTTTAATGTATGCAAACTGAGACATGCAGAGATATCGTCAGGAATATCCAATGCTATATATATAATTAATTAATGTAAAATATTATTTAATATATTAAATCATTTAAATGTCACAATGGAAAGAGATCAAAGAGCCATATCTGATTAACTATATCGTTTTCAGTCAAAATGTATGTACATTTATGATATAGTACATTATATAATATTTGCTGGCTGTCAAGTCAAGTCAACTTTATTTATATAGCACTTTATACAATACTGATTGTGTCAAAGCAGCTTTACAGTGTCAAACATACAAAAATAGTTTGTCGATAATGCAAGAGGACAATAACAAAGAGTTATTTTTCCAGCTAAAGTCAGTTCATTGATGATTCAGTGATGACACTATTGTTTGATATTTTTGTGTTACATTTTATATTTATGCTGTGATAAATGTTTGTGTTTTATAATTTTTACACTGTTCAATGTCAGGTTTAGTTGTAACAACTTACCCCATATAGTGTGACAACATGCCCTCTGTAATTGGCAAATGTTGTGCAATGTGCCTACCGAGACATTGATTTTCAAAAATAAACCTATGCTGAAAGATATTATGAATCAAACTTGAACTATTGTACATAATAACAGGGGGATGTAGCCTATTACACAACTTCAAGTTTTGCATAAATTATAACTGCTGTATTAAATATGTTACAGTCTAAAAACAATATCAAGTGTTCATCTATTGTAATTATTTTATGAAATGCACAATGTATTTATTAAAAAATGGATATCTGGTTCCAGAAACCTTCAGAAAATTCAAACTCGATGATGAAATGCTTCAAATAGGCTAAAATGTCTTCATCAGTGATGTTAGTGCCGCCATCTAGCGACAGAACTATTACCACAGGAACTGCACAACACGATCCCTACTTGCTCTTATTTGTGTTTTACTTGATAAACATTTGTAATCAGCTAAAAATAGGGTAATCATAAATAAATCATCCATATCTGTTTAAAAGAATGGTAACTTCCTCGTGTTTATCATTTTCCGTGAGACCTTTACAGTAGAATTTTGTATCGGAAGTGGAGAGTGTAAACAGACGCGAGTCAGTCGTGACCGTGACTGTCAGTGATGAAGCAGTGTTTCCTTGTACCAAATTAATGTTTCCCTCACTTCCACAGGGATGCATCACTTAAGCGGCCTTCGACAGGTTTAGTCGATCAAACTGCATTAAGAAATCCAGCAGAAACTGAAACTAGTGACTCGGCTGCAGGAGCGAGAGCCGCGGAGAAGCGCTATGCCGCGGTGGAAGGTATGACTGCATCCTACAGGCCAGCTGCGTACGTGCCTGTATAGAGCTCGTTCTCAGCATCTCGCACCTGCGTGTTCATCAGTTCATGTGTAACCAGCCTTAACCTGCTCGTTTCACACATACTCGAGATCCAGCAGTCGCAGTCATCAAAACCAAATGACTAGTTCAATTGTTGTGTGTGCAATGTGCAGACGGTAGCAAAAACTGTAAAGTTAAGGCTCTGTGTAATTACATAATACGTGGTTTCACGTATGTAATAAGCGCATACACAAATAGTTCATATTTATTGTGCCTTCAATTCAGACATTTGTTTTCGTGATACAAGGAAAAAGGCTAAAATATGGTCTTTTTCCCCAAATCATTGTAATTACCTAATATCACGTCATGTTTTCATACATGCTGATAAAGCAATATTTACTGTCAGGAGGGAATAATGGGGAGTGAAGGAGGTCCTGAAATTAGCTACAAGGGTGTTAAAAGCTTCTTAGCCCAAGGCCTTTTTTTTCTAATTTGGTTCATTGTACACCCATATGTTAACCTAGTTAAAATGTTTTGATTCAACCAAACCAGTGACCACAGTGTAAAAAACAAAATTTTCTCAGTAACACTTTATTAGTATAGTTTCATGTTATTGAATATAATAAAGTTATAATTATAATATAAACATTATTACATTATATAATGCAGATCATTAGTTTAAGGAATTAGTGAACCCCATGCAGCACCTTCTGGGACCCCTGGTTCTGTGTAATTAAAATGAGAAACATATTTTCACAGGTCAGGTGGCACTATCTGATTTTTGTTAAAGTCAAATTACCCTAATTAACAGGGTTATCTGTAGTGTTACCTGAGGCGCATTTTCATAAAAAAGCTTACCATCCTTTTAAAAGTACATTTTTTCTAATTTGTTTCAGTATCCGTATATCAATAAAAAAGATGACTGTAACAATTTACAATAAGGTTCCATTGGTTAACCTTAGATTATTACCTAGTTAAGATGAACTAAAAGATAGACTAAAAATACTTCTAAAGCATTTATTAAGCTTAGTTCATGTTCATTTCAACATTTACTAATACATTATTGAAATCAAAAGTTGAATCTGTTAAAATTCAGTCTGAGCTAAGATGAACTAACACTGAACAGTTCCATTTGTATTAACAAACATTAACAACGATTAATAGATACTAAATGTTATGCTTATTGTTAGTTAATTGTAGGTAATGCTAACTAATGGGACCTCATTGTAGAGTGTTAACAAGATAATATTTGTATTTAGTGACCAAACTGGGTTTTGATGTTTTTGACACTTAGAGAAATGCCGGCAGTAGCTCTGAAGGTACAGAGGATTCAGACTTCTCCGCTGAGCACACAGACAGCTCAGAGAGTGACGCCCATGCGGTGAGAAACACCCGCCTCACTCGCTCCTCATTGCGCCTCAGCCGCAACTCGCAAGGTAAGGCACGAGACATTGTACTGATCACTTACTAAGAGCTCTTCAGTAAAAGTATGATTTACTAATAATGAGGCAAACAAGAACTTTGGGCTGTAGGAATAATGAAATTATCATGTGATTTTTGACCCAAAAGAAACAATAATTGAAATCTGAGGTGATGGGTTGATAGGTAGGAAGCATGATGGATGGAGAACAACAAACAAAAGAATGAACGAACAAACCTGAGAGCTTTGTTTCTAGATTCCAGTCCTGTGGGGAACGCGTCTGCCTCAGTTTCAGAGGAGGTGGTGAACTATTCCACCCGTCGCGTGACTCGTAGTCAACAGCAGGGGGTGTCAGTCTTGCCCAAGAAATACCCCTTGCGGCAGAGTCGTTCTTCTGGCTCAGACACGGAGCAGCATGGGGAAATCTCAGAGAGGGGTAGGGGGAGAAAACCGCATGGTTCTTCACTCATGCCTTCCCTCGTTTGAGTATCTCCATGCTTTGCTCTGCTCACATGTGCTTCTCTTCATTAGTTTTTTTCTTTCTGACAAATCACAGATTTTACTCAGTTCATATAGCATGTTAACCATTCCAAAGTTTGGGGTCAGTAAGTATTTTTTTTCTTTTCGTTCTAAGCAGCACAACTGTTTTCAACATTGATAATAATAAGAAATGTTTCTTGAACACCAAATCAGCATTTTAGAATGATTTCTGAAGGATCATGTGACACTGAAAACTGGAATAATGACTGCTGAAAATTCAACTTTGACATCACAGGAATAAAATACATTTTAAAATATTCAAACGGAAAACAGTTATTTTAAATTATTATAATATTTAACAATATTACTGTTTTTACTGTATTTTTGATCAAATAAATGCAGCCTTGGTGAGTCTTCTTTCAAAAGCCTGTTAAAAAAACTTACTGACCTTAAACCTTTAAACGGTAGTGTACATCATTTTCATAATTCTTTAAGATGTAAAAATTTAATTATTTGAAGTAATGCATTAGACTTTCATAATAATTCATTTCATATTATTCTGTGGCTTTTGCCTACTTTTTCTGTTGTAGTTTGCTATCATTTGAATGGATACGTACCACTCTCAATTCCTTCAATTTTGTTTGTACATATACACCCTAAATTAGTTAGTTACGGTTTAATCTGTTTTTGACAATATGTTGGCTCAAGCATCAATAAAACAACCTTATGTTGCAGTTCAAAAGCATACAGCTTTTTGTCATGAATTATTAAGTGGCACTTTTAACATGAATGATCATCACTGATACCAAAAAGTTTTATACTAGTGATTACTGATTGACATGTGATTGACATTATAATCTCAACTTTTGAGAGACGTGGTTAGTACAGCATGTGGTTAGCTACACCTTCACTTTAACCTCCACTTGTTTTTATTGTTTTATTCTTCCTTTGCTCTGTAGTTACACTATTGCCCTTTTCATTTTATTAATGTAATGATATATTCCTTATTCCATTCTTAGATTTTATACAGTCCTGTTTTCTGTTGTGTTGGTCATCCAGACATTAAGGAAAGTGCAGACCATGATGAGTCCCCACCCAGGACGCCCACAGGCAACGCTCCTTCCTCTGAGTCTGACATCGACATGTCCAGCCCAAACGTGTCTCATGATGAGAGTCTGGCAAAGGAGCTGTCTCTGAAAGAATCCGGCCTTGCTCACCGGCCCAAGCGACGACGCTTTCATGAGAGCTACAACTTTAACATGAAGTGCCCCACACCTGGTTGTAATTCACTTGGTAATTGAATTCCAGGTCCTTTATTTTATTTTTTTTAAATGTTTGAACTACCGTTCAAAGGTTTGGAGTTGGCAAGATTTTTTGATGGGGGTTTTTTTTTTTTCAGAAAAAGTCTGTTATGTTCACCAAGACTGAATTTATTTGATCAAAAATACAGTAAAAAAAATTGTGTAATATTATTATGTTTTAAAATAACTGTTTTCTATTTTAACTTATTGCAAATTATTTCTGTAATGGCAAAGCTGAATTTTCAGCAGTCATTACTCCAGGCTTTTGTATCATATGATCCTTCAGAAATCCTTCTGACATGCAGATTTGGTGCTTAGAAAACATTTCTTATTATTCATGTTTCTTATTTATGATTGTTGAAAACATTAATTCTTTGATAAATAGAAAGGTAGAAAGAGCAGCTTTTATTTGTAATGGAAAAATCTTGTAATATTATAAATGTCTTTACTGTCCACTTTGATCAATTTAATCTGTCCTTGCTGAATAAAAGTATTAATTTCTTAAAACATTTTTACAGGCCCCAGACTTTGGATGGTAGTGTATTTGTTTCAGTGTATATTAATAGTGGCTTTACTTTTCTTCTGGCAAGACTGTTTTGTGTTTAGGCTTATTTAAATGCTCAAATATTTCAATTCAACCTTCATTCCTCCTTCAGGACATTTGACAGGGAAACATGAAAGGCATTTTTCAATATCTGGATGTCCACTGTACCATAACCTTTCAGCAGATGAGTGTAAGGTAATGCTTATGTGTGTCGTTTGGACTAAACCTTTAGCCAGATTGTATTTTGCTTAAATGGCAAGGTTTACCTTAAAATCAAACCTTTTACTCAGGTGAAGGCAAGCTCTCGAGACAAACACGTGGAGGAGAGGACGCTGTCCCAGCGGCAGGATGAGAATCGCCATTCTGCTCGGCAACAGGTAAAACAGCACACCAGGTATTTAACATCTTCCCTCTTGAACCGGTATGTGCCCATGAATGACATTCTCCAAGAGCTGCTTTCAGATTTTATGTGCAGTAACAATACATGTTAAATAAATAGCCTCAACTAGCACTCACATTCTCTGAGTTACCTCCCCTCCAGGCCCAAACAGAGCGACAGCTGCGGTATAAAGAAAAGGTGACAGAGATGAGGAGGAAGAGAAACTCCGTTCCTCTTAAAGAGCAAAAAGACAAGTATACAGTGAGTGTCACATGCTCCATATTTGCAGAAAGAATGACAACAGCCCTTAGCAGATAAATGTATCAGTTTCTGAGCTCTCATTGTTTGACTCTCTCCAGGAGCACAGACAGACCCATGGCAGCAGTCGTGAGCCTCTCCTGGAGAACATCACAAGTGACTATGACTTGGAGCTATTCAGAAAAGCCCAGGCACGTGCCTTGGATGATCTTGTAAGAGAGAAGACCCATCTCATTTTTTCCCTCGTTTTCTCCTTTTTCCTCTCTTTTTCATGAATCTGTAAAGATTGCGGTGGGCTGAGCCTTCTCACCACTGCATTCTGGGTTATTGGGACGTTAAGATGGCTGTCAGTGACATTATCCCCTACGGTCAAAGGCCTAGGCTACATGCCCCAAAAACTTACCTGTTAGGGCCAGAACTCCTGGGCCCGGGGTAGAGCTCAAGGCTTGGAATCAGGAATAGATTCCTTTAAGGGAATACGACCAAGAGCCTAGAATCATACTAAGACTTGGCCTGTCACACAGGGGCTACCGCATACTCTGCATATGCTGAAGGAACTGTCTCAACAGATCCCTAGTAGCAACACCCTGTTAAATTGAGTGGAGCCCAAGGTACCGGGGTCAAGTGTTCAGCGTGCACACTTACCACTATGTGGATTTCAGAAAGTGCGCAAAGAGCTCAGCGTGCACACTTACCACTACTGTGGATTTTAGCGGGACGTCCAGGAAATTTTGCAGTGCCATGCTGGGGGCCTGATGATCAAGAAGGCTCCCGCAAAAGCCTGTGACCTGGCCGCGTGATCCAGGAAGCATGAAGCCGAAACCAGGCTATCATAACGGCTGGACATCATATCAACGAGTGAAGTAAACACTGCAAGTCGAGCACCCGGTTTCTGAATCCAACAGAGGGGGTGCTCACTGAGGACCTACCCTAGAAAAAGGACAGAAACACACAGGTGCCGGAAAGCACTGCAAAGAAAGCTAGTAGATGGATTATACACACAACCGCCAGCGCATTAAATACACACACACACATATATATATATATATATATATATATTTAGAAATGGATCGTACTCACACACCATGGTTCCCGCATCGGAGCCCCGTCCGAAGAAGCCTCTGGTCTGGACCATCAGCAAGGTGGTCACTATGAAGCCATAGAGCCAACCAAACATCATAGGTGCAGCATAGGAGACTGTAATGCAGGAAATTCCCACCTAACCTCGGTCAGGTGGAGAGATGGTGGTTACAGGGGAATTAGGAAGGGGAAGATAAGGGCAGATGTAAAACCCC